TGTCCCCAGCTACCGTGATGGGTTTTTTTCCTAGCTTTCTCTCTTCCTGGGCTATTAAAGGTATTTTATTCAGAGGCCTTGCTGTTGCCATTTTTGAGAGTTTGGTTGTGGAATCTCAGGAGAGTATTTCATTCCTTATTCCTGTATATCTGAAGAATCCACTCAGGAGGTCAAATTAATTAATTAATTAAAGAAGATTACCTCTTTGCTGATCTAAAGTGTGCTTATTGCAACAGCAGGCAGATATAGTCTGAAATGGATCTTAGTGCTGAATCTCAGGTTGTTTCAGAGTGTTTGTGGGATTCCAGGAAAATGCTAACTCTGGGTACAGGCACTGGGAAACGTGGTGGTTCTCTGGGAAATTCAAATTAATTTTTACCAGGCTCCTAACAGATGCTGATCAAATATGTTGGACCAAAACTGGAGTGTCTAAAGTTAGACTAAGTACAGATTTAGGAGTCTTACTAAATGAAGAAATCCTGACGTACGTTACTGTCTATCTTCAGCTCCCATTTAACTTAGTGGGATTTGCATTTGATCAACAGCCTAAAAGGTCAGACATCTTTTAAATAGAAACACAATCTCAGTTTCAAAGACCAGGAAACTGTAGTTTAGGCTTTTAAGAGTCTTGCAATGTGTGGATATTGTCTAAAATTGATTGAGGGAGGGAGAGACCATGGTAAAACCAGTTGGTCTGCTTGAGTTTAGACTGGGCTTCTAACCAGATGTGGTAGGGGGCAGGGAGACAGAGAAACTGTATTTTGCTACTTGGTTTTGTGCCAGATTAATTTTTTTAAAAATATTTAACTTACTGCTTTTTGTTTCCTTAGATGTTATTACTAGAATGTATAGCCTGGTTATGGCCCAAGAAAGCAAATTTCAAATATAATGTAAATACATAATACAAAAATATGCATATTTTTTGAGAAATTACTATGTCGTCATCTTGTCAACAGAACTCTGTTGGCACGTCTGTGTAACATCATGCAAATTCTGTTGACTTCTGAGGTCAGTTTTTATTTTGTTGATAGGTTGCAACATTTTAAGAAGTAACTTTAACTCTGCTGCTCCAGAGTGAGCGGGCCTTTATACATTTTACTTAGCTTAAGCCTCAGGAGTATTCTCACATGTATGAGACACTATTATATGATATGCATATATGCTGATATGCAATGTAATTAGAATTTAACTTTTTGTTCTATTTTAGATAGCCATAGAATTGTGTGTAGATTGATAAGGTGTGCCAATTCAAATCTAACAGTCAGCTTTTCAAATATATATTTTCCTTTAACTTTGTGAAATACTGTAAATTCACATTAAACTGGGAGCCTTGGAGTGATACAGCAAATAAATTTGTTGAGGAGAACATATATTATTAAAGATGGTCTATTTTTGGCAACTAATAAACAAGCTGGAGGAGTTGAACAACAGAAGCCTCATGACAAGAAGCAGCACAACAACACAGACGAATGCAGCATCTTGCACGTGGGGCAAGGTAGCTGCCCACCAGTGCAGGCGGCTGGCTGGGTAGCGGCTCTGCTGGAAAAGGACTGGGGAGTGCTGGTAAGCAACACGCTGAGCTGTCAGTAACCCACCCTCACGGTAAGAGCAGCAAACTGCAGACTGGGCTGCCTTGGCCAGCGCGTAGCCAGCATGAAGAGGGACCCATCTACTCACTGCTTGTGTGACTGCATTGGGGTGATGGTTAGCATGGAGACGAGAAAGCTAAGGAGGAATCTGGAGGCTCTTACAACCTAAAGAGAGGGCCAGACTCTTTTCAGACGCGCACAGCAAAAGGGGAAGAGACAACGTCACAGATAGCATCGAGTGAATTTCATAAGAGAAAATTCTTCATCATGAGAGTGGTTTTTGAGCCCTGGAACTGGTTGCCCAGAGGTTGCGGAGTCTCCATCGTTCAAGATTTTCAAAACTTGCTTTGGCAAGGCCCTGAGCAACCTGATTGAACGTAAAAATTAGCTCTGTGTTAAACAAGTGTTTGGACTAGATGACTTCCAGGGATACCTTTCAACCTTTTTTTTTTTTTTTTGTCCTTCTTTTCCTCCTGTGATTCTATAGCAAGCTGAACACAAGATTTGTATTTTCTTGTAGAACATTACTCACTTCTTAATGGGAATATGTAAACTGAATGGATTTTATTCTAAATTTCATAAACTTTTCCTTCTGAAATGCCTTTAAAATCCTTAATTTAATGAATTGCTTGAATGTTCAGCTTAATCTTCATGCTGTAGATGCTTACAAACTTAATTTTAAATTTTTTGTTTGTTTTTTGGAAAACAATGTTAGAAATCAACCTTATAGTTGACCCAGAGGGCCTTGACTGACTTGAAGGTTTGTGTAGCTGTTGATGCCTGTCTGCTAATATGACGTGCTGCTACAGGTCTTTGTTGTAGATAGGCCAACTTTGCAGCATAATCTTTCGTTTAGGTAGAAATACTTGCCGTAGGTCAGCTTTGCTGTTGTAATAGTCTTGCAATTTAACTTCATGGGATAATTCTATGTTTTGACTTGGGCTGTTGGCTGTGTAAGGTCTATGGGTGCTAGTCATCAGCTGAAACCAATGTCTTGCCAAAGTACTTTTATTTTATTAGAGCTATTCTGTTGCCGCTGCATGTACTGTTGCTCCTTCTGTACAATAAGTATTTTTTTTAAAAGAGAAAAATGTATTTAAAGTCTACTGATGCATTTCTAGTTCCATTATGTCTTATTACGGGATCTTCTGCTATGACACTGAGTAACAGTATAGTACTTGAGAGCTTTTGTCTCCATAAGAGAGTTTTTGATGCAGAATTTAATGGTATAGAACCCAAAGCCAGCAGCAGCTCCAAGCTTTCCATGCTCATTGTTTATTCTCTTAAGATAAATAATTTGACTTTGAGTTTGCATTAGTGACAGATTAAGCTGCCAGTATAAACATTGTAGGATTGAGTATTTTGAGAGATGTGTATAATCTTGTAAAGGAACTAAGCCCACAAGTATCCAGAAGCAATGCAATGTTGCATGTGTTCAAATAATATTTTGCAATCTTAATGAGAAAAGGAAGTAAGTAAGTAGAAAAGTATTGGTGAAATGGTAACAGTTTATGATTCTTAATTTTTGTTTACTGAAAATAATTCTTGACACATGGAGCTTTCATTGGAATTTACATGTAAATTTGATCCTGGAAGTAGGAGACGGACACTTGTGTTACTGTACAGCCAAAAAATGCCATTATTTATAGTTGGGTAACCTTTCATTTTACTTTTGACAGTAGAGTTGGGCTAGAGTGAAAATGATTTGGTTTTAAGTCTCTGAGTTTGGGGTGTATTTGTGACATCTTCAGTTTTTAAAAGAAATAGTAAGTAGTTCTCAGTTTCCTGCAACTTAAGTCTATTTATTAAAAATGGAACCCATAAAATTTAGAATTTGAAATTGTGATGTTCACCACCATTCTTTAAAATGCTTTTTCTTTCTTAGTCCTCACTGTCAAATTATCCTTCTCTTTGTTAACGCTGTGGGGTGATGACACAAATTTTGAACATAGGTCCATCCTGGGGGATGCTAAACCTTCATAAAAAGGGAGGGACCAACCATTGTTTACTCGACAAAACAAGCCTGGAGTAGGTGAACCTGCACATACAGCCCAGATACTTAAATTAATAGTAAAATGTAGTATTTGTGGCAGCACTACTGAATGCTGGTTATTTTTTCCCTTAACTTCAATTTTTTTTTTTCCACATTTAGACCCCGCAGACTTTTTGGTCAGTTCAATTCTCCTGTAGCTTTTAACTAGCAGCACATTATGCACAGAAAACTTGAGGAAAGCAAATGAAAAAAAAAAAAAAGAAAAAAAAAGTCTTTTTCCCTAATAAATATCCTTTGTGGCATTGAAAATTTATGCAGCTTGGCATAGATCTTGGTCTTGCTGGAGAACTAAGTAGAAAATTCTGTTCCCTATTGCTTAGAAGTTAGGTTTGTAAGATCTTTGTTTATTCTTGTCTGTAAAGGTCTAACATGTCCTTGATTAACACTGACATGCTTATGTAGCATGAAACATGCATTCCTTAACTGATTCAGATTTTTTAAGATACTCTGTATTAATTTATATGCTGAAGAAATAATTGTTATTTGGATACAAATCAAAATTTTCTTGTTATCAAGACAAAGAAAGTTGATGGAAACAAACTTTAAACAAAAATATATACCGATTACATATTTGTATTATAGAGCTTGGCAATAATGTTGAACTTGGCTATGTTTAATAAAAACTTACTGGGCAAATTTAATGTTACTGAATTTTTTGTTTGTTTAAGAAACTTGGTCAGTGTGTAATCAGGTTTTACATAAACTTGGTGGAAAATTAAATTGATCTCATACAGATGCTAAAAAATTCTTTCAAAGGATCACTTTTACATGTTTATGGATGACTTTGTAACAGGGCAAACTTAGTTGTGTTCTAACTGAAATAAAGTTTTTTGTACTATCTGGTATGAAAGGATAGTGCCAGAGGTGAAGGATGGTGAACAATGAGCTGGGTGAGTTGTCAGATACAGATGGTAATAAGCAGATTTCAGCTTTCTCTTAATTATTGCATTAGATGTATTTAGCTGTCACTCCAACAGAATGATAAATTTAGCTGTAGCACAGTAATTCGGCAATGCAGCTGACAATATTTGTTAAAGATTGCTGTCTTCTTTAAAGTAGAGTTTTGAATTAGACTATTTAGTGCAGGTGCTTTGAAACTGTGACTTATGGTTTCTTTTATCCACTTATACATTTAATCTATTAAAAATTAGTTGTTGGTTCAGAAGTTTTAACATAATGAATTGAAAACCGTTTCTTCTTTGTGTTCTACTGAAAAATTTGACCAGACCATTTTGTTCATATTCATGGGAAATTTGAGTTAGTTTAGAATGGGTTTTGGTTTGTGTTCATTCTGAATTTAGATTTCTGTTTTTGTCTGAGGCTACTACATCATTAAAACAGCTGCTCTTCCGTCACAGGCCTATGAAGAGTACACCAGCAAACTAGATGCTCTACAGCAGAGAGAACAGCAGTTATTGGAATCCATGGGGAACGGAACGGATTTCTCTGTCTCCAGTTCGGCTTCAACAGACACAGTTGCATCATCTTCCTCCTCTAGCCTCTCTGTAGCACCTTCATCCCTTTCAGTTTATCAAAACCCTGCTGATATGTCACGGAATAACCCTAAGTCTCCACAGAAGCCTATTGTTAGAGTCTTCCTGCCCAACAAGCAAAGGACTGTGGTGAGTCAGTTTCTATTCACATACTTGTAACCTCAATATTTCCTGTATCTCTCTCCCTCTGTATGCAAAAGTTATTAATTTAGGAGCTGAAAAAATACCTGTCTGGATGTCAGAGACGTGGCACAATCACTGTTTGTGCTCTGCCACACTCAGTTGTTTTGATATGTTGAATGTTTTCTACAGGATTAACACAAAGACTTCCATTATAGCAACAATACAGAATACAAAACTTTCAGGAGTTTTAAAACAATGAAAATACCTCAAGAAATACTTTTCTCAAATCAGCTTTCTTGGATAAATAGTAATCTACCATTTTACAATGGTTAGGAGGGGGCAGGAAGCTCTGTTTCTTGTATTATGTAAAATTATTGATTAGTGTAACAGGGCAAGATTGGGGAAAGTAAGTGTTTTCCATGTTGTCAAAGTTACTAGCAGCAGTGAATGCTTTAGAGCAAGTACCAGCCTCCTGCAGCTAAGGAGGGCTGCGCAGAATCACTTGGGTTTGAGGTTTTGGTTTTTTTCTTTTCCTCCCCAGTCACTGTGGTGAGTGTTCCGTGTTGGGCCCCTGATGCTATCAGGCCTCGTGTAGAGAACTGGCTAGGGGAGGGACATAGTTGCTGTCAGGAGGGGCAAGAAGTGTTGCCTGCAAACTGCTCAAAAACTAGTGTTTATCAGTTTTGACAATGTTGCAGTGATTTCTGGAGTCATGGAAGAAGAGTTGACTTTTTGCTGGCTACTTAATAATTGTCCGTTATGGGCGGGATTTTTTTACTGGTTAAGAGCTGCCAACTGAAAAGCCTTGATCCATGCTTTAGAATAACACACGGCAAACTGTGATACGTGAAGTTACTGACAAGCCATAGTCTAGGCTCTGTTTTGCAAGGCGGTGCGTACTCCTCACTTAAGAGGGGAGCTGTGGTTCCAGACCAAGTGGGAAATTGAATGGATAGCACAGCCAGTGTCCTTGTGAAACCAGTGCTTTTCATAGCAGTTGGTCAGGTTTGGCTGTTGCTGGACTGTGACTGCCTGTGGAAATTGAATTGCTGGCAAAGAGGAAAAAATATAAACTGAGTAGTGCTGGGCATTGGGAACATGTCCTCTCCCTTCCCCTGCTGCTTTCCTTCCATCCCTTCCTCCCCCTGCCCCACCGAACAAGAGAGATCATAAGGCTTATAGTGGGAACAACAGATTAAAGGGCAGTTGTTTTCACCTGATTTTTTATATATTGCTTAATTGTTATATATATCGCTAAAGATTGAAAGTAGTATTTGGCTTTTGACCTAGAGAATGGGGGTGTAATGTAAACTATGACCACTGCGCGGATGTACAGTGTTAAGCGAGGTGATTTTGTTGTCTGCCTGTGAGGTATGGCTAGGCATGTAGTACTACCCACATTGTGGAATTTGGAGAGATTCTGGTTTCTTCTTCATGCCTTCTGTCCCACCCTGTGTGCCTGTTGTAGCCTCAGCCCCTGTAATGGGGCTGTCCCACCAGTTGGTTTTGTTTCTTTCCTCCAATGGGTCATAGTGTATGGCTTCCTGTATTGTTCTGTGCATTTCCGTCTCTCCTATGTGTTATCTTGTCCTCTAAGCCATACAGTGTATTTCTACTCTTACTCTTTTCTCCTCCTTTCCCTCTCCTCTTTTTCACCTCCTCTTCAGCCCTTTTATCAGAGGTATAGTAAGGCTTTTCTCAAGTCTTGAGTTCTGTTTTGCTTTTGAAGGAATCACTTTATATAAAGAATAGGTTATAATTATGAAATATACTACGTCAAACTTGTAGGCAAGAATGAATTTTTTTGATGTTCAGATGTGTGTACTGAATATGCAAATCTGATTATAAGTTGGGAAACAGAGGCAACTGAATTTCAGTGTGAACCAGGTGATACAATCTTGGGCCAATACAGAACTGTCTTGCCTCATCTGAGATGTGGTTTTGTGCATGTTGTTGGTCCATTCTAATCAAAGTAAAACAGGTTGTCTTCAACCAATGCATCTTTAAGCTCTTAAGTAACAGTACCAGATCAGCTTGGTATGCTCAAAAACATGTGTGCGACTGTGCTTTCCAGGGCTAGTGTTTCTTCTCACTTTTATCCCTAAGCTTTGTGGGTTTTGGTGAATGTTGTGATTCTGTGGTATCAGTCATGTTCATTAGGAGCTTGCAGATTGAACCAGACAGATTAAGTTCAAGAGTGCCAGCTTGTCTGTTGCCATGTCTTGACTAAGAGTTAACTTTCTAGCTTGAGGATGTGCTGTCATGTGATGAGGGAATTGTAGCACTTAGCAGTAGTACTCAGTGACTGGCAGCAGGGCCATAGGAGTTTCTTCCAGTACTGAATCTAGATGCTCTTTCATTACTATGGGAGGCAAATGTGGTTTAAGTTGGGTGTAGTCAGGGAGAGGCTCTTGCTCCTGTTTCCAGCTTTCTGCTGGAGTCTAAATGCCATTTGCCATACAAGTCTAGCCCTGCAGCTTGTTTCCAGCTTGCTAAATGTGGGACGCTAAGAGCAGAGCTTCAGGAAAACCCATAGTCTTGTGCTGTGGTAATTAAAAAAAAAAAAAAAAAAAAAAAAAAGTACCGACAAAAGGGTAGGAGACAAGCTAGTGGTGGGGAGGAGGTACAAGTCCCTTTAGTCTCAAATCTGGTATAAGTGTGTCTGTAGATGCACTTACATAAAGGAACAGGCAGATGCCTGCAGACGCAGGGAGGCATGAGCTACACATGGGATTGCTGGCTGGAAGCTCAGGTTGACAGGATTCAGCTTCATATGCTGTGTAGCAAGGTGGAAGTTGGCCTCAGTTCTGCCAGGAGAGACCCATTTTTGGTTGAAATTGTTATTCTAAATAAGCAATTGGAAATATATACTCAGGTCTGGTCGGCACATACTGCAAATTAATGGTTCAGCTTTGGCTCACTCTCTTTTGGGAGGGAGCTGACTTCTTTTTACTTCAGTTTTACGTATTGCTTGGATATGGTTACATTGCTGAGTTGAACTTTATTTTTAATAGACCTAGTACATTATCTCTGTTTTGGATCTGGAAAATGCTGCTTATAGGAACTCCAAATGTTGGGGTTAATGGCCTTGGAGCTGAAGTTCATGTCTCTGAAACTTGAAACAGTGCTCATGTTATTGAGGAAGTCGGGAATTTCTTGTGTGGCGACTCTTAATGTAGTTACTCTGTTTTCAATATTTATTGATCCTCCACATCGTCTGTTGAAAACCAAGGAAATTCCAAAAGCAAACCCAGTTCAGAAAGAACCGCAGCTTACATTGCAGTTTTAACTGTGAGTAGTCGGATGATAGGCTACCAACCAGCAGTTTTAAGTGAATACTGAGATTACTTGCTGTACTACACTTCCTTCGTTCTCTCAATGGATAGAGAAGTGTTGCACATGTCTTAGTCTTTCTTCATAACCTCTGGCTTTAAAAACAGACCTGTCGTGTCTCACTTGTGCCCATTAACTGAGCCATTTGCTCATGTAGCCATAATGGTCATTTAGGGTTTTCAAGTATACAGGATAGCTTCAGATGTGGTGGGTTGAAGTAAGAAGGAGATTCCTTGTGAAAATATATGGTACCTGCCATTAAGGCCTTGCCCCTGCCCAAGTCCCCATTCTGTATGGCTGTTAAAGTAAGGGTAAAATGTGTCCTACAACCAAGTGTGTAGCTGGGAGAGGAGAGACGCTCTTAAAGTTGCAGTGTTGCAACAAGCTTCCCCCCACCCCAACCGTAACTGCTTTGTTATCTACTTCTGAAAGAAATCTTTTTTAATATCACAATAATATTTTCAGTCTCTACCTCCAAACACAGACCCACTTCAGGAGGTGAGAAATCCTGTCAGATACTAGGGAGCCTTTGTTTATTTTTATTTGGGAGTGCAATGACAGTTCTTAAACTGACTTAATTTAAAGCCTGGCATTAAATTGGTAATGGAGAACCAACCTCCTCATTTATCTTTGATCATGCTGTGAAGTGGTCCAAAGTACTACGACAGCCTTCTGGTACTTGTTTAGAGCTATTAAAAATGCAGGAAATGGTGGCAGGGGGGAGATGCTTACATTTTTGACTAGCAACTGCATTGTTACTTGAGAGTTGTCTACATTTTTTGTTTATTAGTAGTATTGTTTGTGTGTAGGATTGGGCAAATACATATGTTTGAGTTGGCTCCAATTAGAAATACAATGTGAGGAAATGGATGGAGTACAAAGAAATGAGACCATGTTGATCAGTGTAAGTGATTCTGGTGCATAGGTAGTGTAGCTAATGTCAAATTTCTTTGTACATGTCATGATAAAGCAGACTGTTGGATAGAAAGTTTTTCCTAATGTAGGAAAAGGTGTGAAGGTGCTTCCTTGAAAGCCTAGCTAGTAAGCGATGGAGCCTACTGCTGATGAGCAGTTAGCAGTTGAAGTCAGCATCTTGATTCAGCTGGTGACACAGCAGGGTTGGAATGTAACTTTTTTTGAAAGCAAAACCAAGTTTATCCCCAGAATGCAGAGAGATAAATGTCTGCAGTATGTGTATACTTCCTCTTTCCTTAGTGGCATGGTTCAACTTGCAAGTTAAATGTCCTTTGGAGAAGCATTCTGCATAGATGTGACCAGGATAAGTCTGTGTGGGGTTTTTTTTTTTTATTTTGTTCTAGGCCAGAGAAGGATGCTGAAATAATAGAAGTGCAAGATGGTAATAAGTCTACCTGAGATTGTCAGTTATTTTGCAGAACAAATCGACAAGCCTTTTCCAAAC